CTTTTAATTGGGATAAAAGTAGCATGAAGTGTGAGAGTCCTATTTCTGTTCCATATCAGGGTCAGGATGTAAAAACCAGGTGTCTCCTGGAAATTAAAGCAGGAGAGGAGACCATGGTGAACACACAGAGTGCTTCTGGAAAAGATGGTTTGAAACATCTAGCCTTTACTCTCAGTTAACTGTCAACCAATATGTCCTGAACTTTCTGAATGACAAATGGAATCTGGATATTCCCAGTCCTAATTTAACATTCTAACTGGTCCATGATAATTCCCATGGACTAATGTTCTTCTCAATATATCTTTAAAAAAATCCTACATAATAGCATAACAATAAAATGCACAGATTTCTATACCTAGATGAAGGTCCCTCTTTTTACTCCTGTTCTAGTTCTTTCTTTATTATTTATCAAATTTATTCGCCACCCATCTTGTGACTCCGAGCGGCTTATAGCAAGTTTTAACAGTTTTTAACGTAGTGGTGGGGGAATCCCTTACTGTACCTCACAGGTACAGATCTTTTATGAGAAATGCTCAATTGCCTGTAGCGAGAATGCTTGAATGCTTTGGAAGTATAAAAGAAAAAAGACTGTTATGCTTCCCTTTGATAAGCTGACCCTTAGAAAAGGTTGTTTTAAAACTAACCCACAAGTTCTATTGATACTTATTGTTTATCAGCTGCTATCTGGGACTGATAAAGGTGGGCAGTCAGCTGTGCTACTTTTAAACCTTTGCTCTCTCAGGAGCTGCAGGCCCCTTAACAAGCATGCCAGGAAAAGAGAAAGGGACTTGATCTCTTTTCAGATGAACTGGTTAAGTGCCAATTTTGCTCATGAACAGTCATGAGCGTGTTCCTGCAAAGCAGGATGTGATCAAACTATTCAGAGCTGGAAAACCAGGTTTGCTTGCCAATTACGTTATTGCTTCAGTGCTGAGTATCAAATAGTGCCACACCAGCTATGAAAAAAACTGTTTTTCTTTTAACCACCACCACAACAAAACAAATTCAATATCTTTGGCCTTTTGGCTAGAATTGTAACATAATCACAGGTCCTGAGTGTAGAAGAAATAACATCCAGCTGAGAATGTTGAACTCCCTGTTTGCAAGGGAAAAAAATAACCATTTCCCTGCCCCCAAACAAGAAAGAGAAAACTAGCAGTAGCCCTTCCTCTGTTACCAGGTTTCAGCTCGGCTGCCAAGTCGCTCATGTTAAACATTCCTGTTCAGAAGGTGTAAATGGCAAAAGGCCAGCAGCTCTTCTGAGTTATTTCATCATACTGCCCACTACTGGCAAATGCATTTATTCAAACCAAAGCCATGGAAAAGAACTACCAGTAATTAGAAATCTTGTCCCCCCCCAAACAATCCAATTGCTTTGATCACTCTGAAATGGGAAAAAAGAAACAGGATCTATAACATGGCAGGACTGAACTGCTTCTGTTCGCAGGTCTGCCATGCTTTCCTCCAGAACAATGCAGTCTATTCTCTAGAGTCCTCTTAGCTATCAAGCAGTTACCCATGGATATTGTCATATTGCCTTTGTAAGTAATACCTTTTCCAATCAGCAGAAATACTAATGTTTGGAAGGAAGGACTAGCATATGTAATACATGTCAATGATATATAAATCATTTCTTTATTTAAGCACGTTATCTCAGTCCTCTCATTTCCTTTGCAAAGTCATGAAAGAAATTCCATGGGATCACACAGTACTTCTTCACTAATAAATACAACTTGGCAACTGAATGTCAACAGTTTTCCTCTTCTAAAAAAAACCAAAGTATTAGAAGAAAGAGTGCTGTCAATGTTTAGTTTTGTTGTTTGCTTTATAGTCACTTGAAAATATATATGAACGTGATATCAAATATTTGAATTTATGCCATTGTATTTGTTTTTGCACGTAGTAAAAGTAATTTGTATGTTTGTACAGTAATCTAGTGAACAATTACTGATTATATATGCATGTATCATTAAATCCTGTGAAGAAACTATAGCCTGTTATGATAACTATAGCACACATACATTTTTATAGGTATCTGGACACACTCAAAACATTCAATTTCACTTTTAATTTAAGACTCCCAAGAACATATTTGCACCTTCATTATCAGCTAATTACAACTTAATTGGCATCATATAAGACAGGAATGTCAATACCCACAAGACTACTTGAAATCAAACTATAATGAAAGTCTATGATTGCTGCAATGTCCTTTGTCTGATACCAAATGGCTAGAACTGAAGGCAAAAGCCCAGTGTTAGCCACCACCACATAATCTTTCTTAAATATCCTCCAGTCCTCAGTTTACTCATCAATCATCTTCAAGAGCTATTGGAACTATAGCTGTTAGCAATTTTAATAGATACCCATTCAGAAGCATTGCTGAATAGTCTACTTGCATAAATGTCAGCATGTAAGGTTCAAGCACTGCTCTTCACTAAAGATATTCAGTGACACTTATTTCAGATGAGCAGTAAGATCTGGCAGTCTCATTATTTGTGATATATCTAGATCTGAGGACAAGTTCAGCCAGAGATACTCAAACTGGTATTGTCCAGATAGTGGGGTTACAATCCCCACATTTCCAATGACTGGGTGTGCTGTCTAGGATTTATGGAAGTTCTACCAATTGCCAATTTCTGCATTTAGTCTTTTATATCCTGGTACCAATCTAATTTTCTATCAACTGTGAAATAAATATTATCTTGCCAATTTGATGTTTGGGTTAAAACACTGGGGGGGGAGAGGGGAAGGGGCACGGGGGAAATCTTTTTCTGCCATTAAAGACAATAATCCACAAATTGTCCAGCTAGTTCATACTAATTTGTCTCAACATCAGTAACACAATAAAGGATCACGGACAACTTAATTCCTTTCTTCATCAAGATAAAAATCCTTCCGTCGTTTATTTGGCAGATCAGGTCTGGGACAAAGAACAGTAGAGAACATAAATATTATACTGTACTTATGTCAAATTCTCTTCAGAGAAAAATAAGGCCTAAACAGAAACTAAAGATAGTTTAAGGGGATAAAGAGAAGGGGATAAATACCAGGGAACCAATTACTACTGTAGAATATTTGGTGATCTTCTGTGATCTTGGTTGCTTGCATGCAGACATTTTATTATCCGACTAGGGAACATCATCACCAACTAGGGAACATCATAGCTATGTGGAGTTTGTTCTCTGTTCATAAACAGTAGTTTGCTCTGCCAGTATTGATGGAAATGTGGCTTTCTCCTCAGTAATTCTTTGATTGGGGTATAATTTTCTGCTTGATTGCTGGTCTGGTTTTAATCCCTGTTTATCTGGGTGTTGATTGCTGGAGAGAATGTATTCTGATCTTTTTGTTTTCTTTTTTTTCTCTCAGTTTTTTATTGTCTTTTTTGAATGGTGTGTAAATGTGGCTTATCTGTATGTGATAAATGATGGCTGATTTTGGAATTTGGAAATGCCAAATTTCCATGAATTCCCTATTTTTGTATTTAATTTGATTTACGATACCCATGGTTTTCCAGTTAAAATCATGATTGAGTCGGTCCATAGGTTTTTAAATTACAGAGTTTTCATTATGTCTTCTGACTGATAGATCCAGTATGTAGGCGACACCTTCCTCATAATAAAAAAGAAATAAGTAGAGAACACACATGAATGACTAACATTTTCAAAGGAATAAAATTCACAAGGGAAAACCACATACTACTTCTCCTGGATATCTTCACCAGCAGCGGAAATGTTGGCATATTAGGGATTAACAGAAAATAATATCCTAATCAAAGAATTATCAAGGAGAACACTCATCTACCAACACTGGCAGGGCAAGCTACTGTATATAAACAGGGAGCAAACCCCACACTCATTTGCACAGATGATGTTAACTAGTTGGGTAATGAAATATCTGCAAACAAATAACCAACCTCAGAGAGCACAAAGAACTCTACAGTTCAACCCTAAGCTACATATATTCTCTTCTATTGGAACAAACTAAAAGCTAAAATTTGAAAGTTCTGATGTAATAAAATTGTTAATTGCCTGGCATTATACAACTGGGAAGTCCATAAAATACATTTAGCTCTCAAATATATCAAGCAGAGCAGTACTGGTTGGAATCAAATATTTGGAGTGCAGTATACTTAAGATAAAAGTGGCATTTATGGCCTGCATTATCTCCTTGAAACTCCAATATACTACAGTGACAGAAGTACGTATCTCAAGGTGCCAAGAGCTTGGAGCCAAGAAAATGCTCAAAGAAAGGCCTTTTATAAAGACAGGCTTGGACCTGACTTTCTGATGAAGATATGCACTATTTCAAATTATAATTCAGAGCAACTTTCTAAAAGCTTGTTGGAAAGTGTATTGCAAAAGATATATTGAATACATCAAATAGATCAATTATAAACCTTCCTTCTTCTGTTGTCGTCCTTTTACATTTTGTGTTCTATATTTTTTAAAAAAGAATAATAGACAAACAAAAATGTGAAAAAAAAAATTGCTATAGCAATAGTAAATATCTATAGAGTCTCCAGTTTTCAGCCCACTGCTTCAGGAAAGTAACCTTCTGGGAACAAGGGTCAACATAAATATTCCAGTTTAGAGTTGCTTTTCAACAGCTTTAATCACTTTTACTCACTACTTTTATTTACATACACATTTTTAAGATAAATATGTAGTTTCCTGTTTCTTTTATTCCCGTTTCTGTTAAATATATATTTTTCCTTTCTACGTGTGCCCACTTTCGGTTTCCAAGGATATTTGGAATTTAAATTAAGTCTTCAGAGTTTGAAATTCCTGAATTTTCCACTTCTTATATAATTTAAAAAAAATAATTTTGAAAAATTCAGTAATGAATGTGTGTATGTTTTGCTGTGTGTAAAACTTAGCTCACTGTGATACTTTTTGTAGGGTAATAAGGAAATTTTCTAAAAACTAAAACTGCATATTCTTAGCAATGATGATGGGATATATATGTGAATGGATGCAAATAAACTAATATAGACTTACTTGAACCAGTGCAGCATCTCTCTCTTCTATCAATGCATTCATTTCTTCAGCTGTTATTTTCTTTTTCTGTTTCTGGGTCCTGTATATGCGATCGACAATTATAGCTCCTGTCTTCCATATCGCCATACCGGTGTCTGCATTGTTTATTCTGTTCAGTAATTCCTGTAATGTCTACCAACAGCATTCTATGTTAGTCAGACAAGAAGTTTTAATATACTTTATTTAATATAGGGTTTTAATTAATAGGCACATGTGAATTGTAAATTGACTGAGTGAAGTTATTGAATTTTCATACTGCAGCAAAGATGTACATTATTAGTGTGTCAATTCTTCTTTTTCCCACATCTTAGTTTCTGAAACCCACTCAATTGAACTTAAGCCTCTAAGATATAAGACTGACATCAAGAAATCTCCTCAGAGAATGGCTTACCATGTCATTTTCTTCAGGGTTAATATTTTCTAGCCTAGAAAAAAGGACACAGAAAGCCTGATCAGTAGCATTTCCTTAGTGCAGCAAAATGAATTCGCTTTTTAAATCTTTAGAACCCTCAAGTAATTTCATTCTACTGGTCTTTAGAGTCAACCATGACACTGAACATATTAAAGTGCCACCTGCTCGATTCCATCTTTCAATAATGCTCCATATCTTCAGCACTGACTTCAGAATGTTAAGTTATTAATGTTTACTGCTATATATGACTACAAGGATCAATTGTTCATATGTGCTTAGATGAAGAAAGTTCCCCAGCGGCAGGGGCACCGAGGCACCTTTTATTTATTTATTTAATTCTGCACCCACTGAAATACATAAATAAACCTCCAGCAGAAATTATATATTTTAATTTTATCATATCCCTCATGACACAAAACAAAGCAAAATAAAAATCTCTAGCTCTCAAATCCTAACACCTCTGTCCGAGGCTCACTGTTTTTAATGAAATTTATCTGCATGGAATTGCCATCACAAGTCTGTGGAACAAAGTCTAATGATTTTTACTTCTTAACAGTAATTTAGGAAAATTAAACTTTCTCTAAACCCCCAAACAATTAGACTGAAATAATGGAATAAAAACAAACACTCAAGCCCCATTTTTTTTTTATCAGTTGACACATTTTTCAGTGTTACTAGCTCGGTCAGAACCTTTCTGCAGAACTGCATGTTATTAGCTCAAAATATTTGTACTACCTCATTTCCAAAAGAATGGTAATGAATAAAGAGATATAATATTATAAAAAGTTGAATGAAAAGCTTGTAAATATATTTTAACCTTTCTGTAAAATTGAATTATACCAATCAGTAAAGCAAGTAATCAAATTATGATGTCATGCAAATCAGGGATTAGGAGGCATCTATGAAGCTGGAGCCTGCATGCGGTAGAAATACTGCATAGCATTCCTCAATTACCTATTAATATTGCAGCACGGGATAGTGGAGTCATTCCATTCGTGCCTTTATACAAGCTTATCTAATTTAGCAGTTCAAATGAAAACTCAGTGCACCTTAAAATTACAGATTTTTCAAACTTTGTCATGCCCACTTGAAAAAAATAAGACTACAGAAATATATCTGTAACTACTGTGAATATAATATAATAATATAAAATACACATTAAAGAAAACTACAAAATGTCTGTATTTTGTAAAATAGCATAAAGAAAAAAATAATAGAAAAATGCATATTAACAACTTATTGGATCATTTTGCATCCTATTTAAAAAAAGGTTTCCAGATGAATTATTATTATTATTCCTACAGTTAAAAACAAAACAAAATATATGGTATTTCAAATTAACAAAATATTTTATTTTGTTTCACTTTAATTTCCGATGGAAAAATGGCCTCAAAAGATCTGATTGACTTCCTATAAAGTGAGATTTCTGATTCACAATTTTGTAATCCAAATCTGAACCCCTGGATGAAATGTGACATTTCCTTGAATAACCCATACATAAATCGATACTGGTTTCCCTCTCTTACATACTCAGTCAATCATCACCTTGTCTATTTCAGGATCAAGACTGAGATCACACATGAATTAATCTAAATGTAATGAATAAAACCAGTGTCCTGCTTAAGATCTGTTACTCAGAAATGTAGCTCTTTCTAACCATTCCAAGGAGGAGAAGCAAGAATTTAAGAGAATGTGCCCACAGAGATTCCTCACAAACTACTTTCACACACTGGAGCTTAGAAACATGTTATATAATTGCTTAAAAACACCCACCAAGTACTTCCTACTTTCTCCCTTATATAGCAAACTAAAAGCTAGAAAATATGTGGGTGTGTGTATGCATGCATGGAGTTAGGTATGTACAGCATATACAAATATGCAGTGGCCATATGAAGAAAGGGTGATAGATGCAGCTGAGTTTTCCCACAAGACAGTGGACATTAAGCAGTCAGAATAAAGCATGAGATGTGTACATACGTTTCAAGAGGTTGTTCCAGTAGCCTTACTTGTTTACATGCATCATTTCTCTCTTCACTGGCCAACTTCAGTCTAGCCATGATGGCTTCATCATGTTCGTGTTGTGCGGAATGAATTTCTTCTACCACAGCTGCAAGATAGTAAATGGATGTATTGTATAAGTATGACCCACAAAGGAAATTTATTTATTTTATAGCTGTTTTTAACTTTTCTAAATTAATGGATATTTATTTATCCATGGAACTAATTATAACATCGTCTATCTTAATCATTTCCAGACCGACACCCATATTAGTCAGGACCCAGTTAAAATTTTCTAAATTAAATGAATCAATTGTTGAACCTTATGCAGATATGTTATTTAAGCATGCTTAAGGGATGAAAGCATTCAATGAATTATTTTTCCTTTAAGGCATTGTTTTTCAACTTTGGTAGCTTCAAGATGTGTGGAGTTCAATTCCCAGAATTCCTCTGCCAGCCTTGCTAGTTGTCAAGATTGAGGAAATGCTGTATTCTACCAGATGCCAAGCTGGACTAAAGCTGCCATATAAAAAGAGCCACGCTGGATCAGAGCAAAGGCTTGAATAATCTTTTTCCACATGCAGTGCAACCTGACCCTTTTTTGGGGGGAAAGTTCTAGTAAAAGAAAGGATATGATGCAGACTCATTGCATTTGTTCTTCACCTTGGTTCTATATAACTGGCTGCTTCTGGGGATAAAGGGGTAAGAAATGTAAATTTGATGGTAAAGCAGTAACAATACTTTTAAAACCTTCTGAAATCCCATGACAGTTTGAAGTTTTTGAAACTCATATAAATGTTTTGCATTTTTCCAATGTTTACTTATGAAACTTTTGAGGCAAAATTGCCAACAATTTTGGTCCATTAGCAAAATTTAACATGATTTTTAGTGAGAAGTAATATTGCAAAATTGTTGCTGTTCTGGTATGCAACCATGCAAGATCACTGAAATCATAGAAAAGTTACTCTTCTTCTTCTTCTTCTTCTTCTTCTTCTTCTTCTTCTTCTTCTTCTTCTTCTTCTTCTTCTTCTTCTTCTTCTTCTTCTTCTTCTTCTTCTTCTTCTTCTTCTTCTTCTTCTTCTTCTTCTTCTTCTTCTTCTTCTTCTTCTTCCTCCTCCTCCTCCTCCTCCTCCTCCTCCTCTTCCTCCTCCTTCTCCTCATCATCACCACCACAGGTTATAGCAGGTTATAGATAAAGACATTGCTGAGATATTTATTACAGTTATGGAGAAAAATATATTATTGTAAAAACAAGCATTGTTTTGAGCAACTCACATTAGCTGAAGCTGGCTCTACAACAGATATTTGAAAGACCTTAAAATAGCTAGTCTTTTATGAGATTTATATCCTGATTTTCTTCTATACAACTCAAAATGGCATACAGTATATATTTTCCACAAAACATACTTCACAAAATATTTTGGGCTGAAAGAGAGTGACAGTCTCAAGAACTAAAAGTTACTAGTTTTTCATGCAGTACCTTAATTGCTGCACCAAGCTGTCCATCTCAAACCATTTTTAGAAAAATGTTGTTAGTATATGTTAGTGGATAGTACTCTATTTTAAATTGATCCAGTGAACAATCTGCTATGTGGAGGGAGGGGGAAGAATAATTATGCTGATAAAAGCAAAAAAAAAATCTGGGTAATCTATTTGACTTTACTGGAACAATGGGCAAAGATTTTCAAATCTATTGCATCAAAGTCACCTTTGCTATTTCCTGGAACACCTAGGTTTATCTTGGCAAACTATTTCAGCCAAGCTAAATTCGTTAAGTATTTTTTAAATGACATTTTCATTGAAATATGAAGCTTCTTGAAATAAATGTGCATATTCAGTGTCATGTGGAGGGAATAAGGTATCAGTCACATTGCCAAAGCAGAAATCTATTATTTTCAATGAAAGTTGACATAAAAGCAGACCCAGCAGATCAATTGTGTATTGTATTTTAAAATGACTGAAAAAAATCCCATATTTTTTTTATTCATAAAGTAAATTTAGCTTATTTTGCTGCGGTAGCAAGCCGTCAACATTTGAGTATCATACCAAGCCAAACATCTGGATTACAAAATGGCTTGCTTCCTGAAAGATAATTGTACTAGATCCATCAAGAATAACACACTTGTACTTTTAAGATAGATAATAACTGTAAACAGTTAAGGTACATAGCTATTTCAAAGTTCACTTAGAAAATCAACATAGCATTTTAGTTGGAATTTGCTCATTAAATACCCATAGCAGTAATGCAAATTATACAAGAATGAGTAAAGCAAATACATATATTTCTTTGTTTTATTAAATGTAAAATCTGCTGTTAATCACATAGGCTGTGTTGTATAAACTTTTCTCTTTAACTATTAAAAGGAAGTCTTTACAAAAGTCATTAGAGATCTTCATTCTTTGACTTGTATAAATTTCAATATTTGTTCAGTAAAGGTTCACAGCAGTTAAATTACATTAACAAATATTATTAGCTACTATGTAAGCCAACTAAGTAAAATACTTATATTGCAGGTAAAACAAATCATTGGATGTTTACAATAATATTTGGACACGTCCACTTTTAAACAAGCTTATCAAATATTCTGTAATTCTAAGTCAAATTACAGAAACTCAGAGTAGATTCCCCCCCCATGCTCAAATTTGTTTAGTAAGCTAATTGTTTTCTAATATGGGATAAAGCAAATATGAAGAAGCTGAATCATTTGCAGTATAAGTTTACTGAGTCAAAGCAGTGTACATATTTTCTCAGCTAAACCCAGTTTTGTTGGCAAACCTTTTGGCCACACTTTCAGACTACCTTTAAAATACAGTAGTAGCAAGAGAGGGTGTTAGAAATCATTCTAGTATAAACATTGGTTCATGATTCTCCAAACAACAGAAACTTGAAGGGGTGGTGGATGAGGCAAAGAGAGAGGGCATCTATGTCTGTTTGCTGATTTCTTAGAGGTCATCTGTGTAAATATAGAAACTGAATAGTAAATGCTGGAAAGAAGGAATAGTTAGGAGTTTTAGATAGTCTACTGCAAAACTCACATGATACGAAGGGAAAAAATACAACTTTAACCTTTTAGACAACAGATAAGATTTCTAAGTAAACCAAGATAATTAAGATATTGTTCTACATTCTGAGTTGCCCTATAACGTGCAATTCTTTAAAAAATCTTTTGTCGTAGATACTTTGTCAATATGCTGAAGCACTATTTTGCCTTTTTTGGGGAATAAAAAGATAGCATAACTGTATCTCCCTTCAAGAAGTTTTTAAAAACTCAATATTCAAATATTTTCCATTCTTGCCATAATTATTCCTTATTTTATATATTTCATGAGATTCTTACAGGTATTTTCGGAAAGTGAAAAATAAACGTACTGCCATAGCATGTAGATTGTCATAAGAATTTTGTGATTTTGGAGTTAGTATTTAAGATTAGGACTCTGAACTCTGTGTGACCCAGGATTTTCCTCAGAGCTGGTTAAGGACTGATCACAAGACTTTTAATGGCTTCACACAGATATTTTTCCTCCACAAGAGTCAATATGAAGGACTATGGAGCTACTTTTTATTTTCAGGCTATCCCTAGTAAAGATAAAATATTCCTAATCTGAAAAATATTTTCAAGGGCAACCTATACAGAGTTAATATGTAAACGGAACTGAAACTGAACAAATAGCAGTTCCAATTTTGTCTCTGCTTCAAATAAACAGGGAAGAATGCAAGATAAAGCTTCTTTGAAATTAAATTAAATGACTCACAGATTTCTGATTTTTTTTATTTTGTTGGGTTCTGCTCATTTGCTTTTTCTACCGGTTTAAGCAAATGTCTCCAACTCAAAAGAGTGCATGGTGCCTCTATGGAAATGTTGTTAGAATATACTGCAGTATTTGCTTATATATAGAATTATCAACTTGCATATATCATCATTAGCAAAATGCTGACAAATCTGGAAAATTATCTAGGTTCCAGATTGAGATCTTATTTCAATAGTTCCCAGACACTATAACTATTTGATAAAACACTATATTGACATTAATTAAATCACTAAAATATAGAAGTGTTACAGAAAAAAAGAATGAAACAGAATTAGAACAGTTTTAAGAGGACAAAACCAGATATTACAGAGTGCAAATCATTTACATTTTAAATTGACTCAGCAGATAAAGCAATGTGTGTTACCCACTGATAGAAATACCAATATCTTTATTGCCTTGTATATATTTAGTTTGAGGCATTCAATTGATCCTACATTTCTGGTGCTATAAATGCATTGATTATACCCAAACTGTTTAGCAATACCTGTAAAAGTAAGTGAAAAGACTTTGCACTCTGGTGTTTTCCTGTTTACTTAGATCCTCAGCGGGGAAAATGAAAGAGAAGGCATGCAAATAAGAATGTATACATTTCCCTCCACTGTATTTACATTTCTGAGTTTTTTTACTAAAGCCAGTTGCCCAGCAACACTAAACTTACCGCGTCTTTTAAAATACACATTTTAGTGGACATGACTTGAAAGCCTATGTGCTACCACTTATCAATAGTTTTTCAGACAAAAGTCACCTATGTACACATCCATAAAAATATCCACAACTAAACTCAATATATTCTACTGAATTGTGTACAAATGGATAGCTCTTAAAACGATTGTTTCCCAAAAGACACCTGGATTTGTTTTTCTTTTTTACTGATAGGAAAGCTTGATACACAACATTTACTACTAAAATACTAGTCTCAATTATTCCTACAGTTAAAAACAAAACAAAACAATAGCAATAACCAATAGCACATTCAATGTCTATGCAGAGACAAGTCCCAGTTTGGGGAATGGGAGCAGAAACTATAAGGCTGTATTAGCAATCATTCCAAACAATCAAAATGCACTATTCAATCTGTGTGAATGTCTGTGTGAAAGGCATTCAGATTTTCAGGATAACCTTATTTTCAAACAAGTTTTCAGAAGAAAGAACTTTTCTTATCCCCTATACTAGTTTTTGAAAAGTACATTTCTGTCCTATATACGGGTGCATTAAGTTTTGCAACTTTAGAGAAAAAATCTCTTCTCACCAAAGTCCATTAGTTAAACTCCAACTGATTTTAGTGAAATGAAACAGGAC